TGTAGACATATTTATATGTATATATGGTACACATTTTATATAGACGAGAGCCTCAAAATGTTTGGAAAAAATCCGTTATCTTTTAACGCTTTCACATATGTTTTGAAGCCCCCTTACTTATACTATATTTTTATTCTATAAAGAATAATAGTCATTTGTCAAGCATATTAAATTAGTATCTTGTGATTTGCCTGAAACTAAGCAGAACTTAACAATAAATTGAAATGTAAAGTATTCATTGCTTGCTGTTCTCCACTGGTTTCACCCAACATCTTTTGTTAATGTAAAATGGAAGCGACATCATAAATCATGCAGGAATAATCAAAGATCCCCATACCTCTTCTAATGTGGTGTCTGAAATCCCATAGCCTGTCAGCTGAAGATGATGTAGATTCTGGTCCAGATCTTGAAAGAGTTCTGTAAAGCTGGCCTTGTCTGTGTTCTTTGGAAGGGCATATGCAAGTTCACTTCCACTGCTCGATTTGAGAAATGCTTGGGGAACATAGCTCTGTATCAAAGACGTAACTCGAACTATGCCTTTTGGATCATGGAGCTCCGTAACAGAAGGCTATTTGGGGTGGGGGGTGGGGGTGGGGCGAGAAAAAAATAAGAAATATAAATTGAAATGTGCATCAGTTAATTATATATATCTATATCAGTAAACAAATTCTTGAAATTTCATTTTAAAGCAATAATATCAGGAAATAAAATTTATGACAGGTATTCCAATAATATATTGTATTTTTTCTTTTTAAAAGATGTACATTTTTGGTGATTAATCTGGTGAATCTGAAACTATATGCCCCTTGTGTTCACTGGGAATATTGTGCCAAGCTGCCAGGAGCTCTACATTTCAGAGTGCCTCTAGAAGGATCGTGGAGAAGACTCTCTGCCTAACATTCGGACAGCCAGGACACAATACCGACATTGTCTGAAAGAGAAGTAGGGATTCCCAATCGTGGAAGAACTATTATGGCTGACATTATGCGCTCCAAAATAAATGCTGACATTTTAATTCCTATACTTATAAACAGAATCCCTGATAGTGGAGAAGATGAAGCATGGGGCTGCTAACTGAAACATTGGTTGTTTGACCCTCCCATCTGCTATGAGAAAGAAAGTTGAAGTAGTCCCGTTCCATAAAGATTTATAGCTTCAGAACCCTACAGAATAGTTTCATTCTGTCCCATACAGTTGCTCTGAGCCGGAATCCACCCGATGGCACGAGTTTTGTTGTTTTTTGTCATAGAAATGTTCTTTTGTTGGTGATATGCCATAGAACATTGGATCCTTATCCTAATCACTTCTGAGTTATAAAATTTTGGATCCTTATCCTAATCACTTCTGAGTTATAAAACTAGTAGACTGGATAGAGAGGTACATGTAAATATATCAAGAATCCTAAGAGTATAGTTGGAAGCATTTCTGAGTATTCTAACAACTACAGGAAGCTAAAGTAAAAAAAGTTGGACCTAGAGCCATGCTAGGAATTTAGACTTCCAGCCTCCAGAACTGTTAGAAAATATTTTTTTCTTTTAAAGCCACATACTTAAGGTATTTTTTGTTATGCTCGGCAGTGTTTGGTACTTATTTGGCATGTAACCTTTTGTGTGAGGATGCAGTAGTGACTCAGGGATGGAATGCTTGCCTTCCAGGTAAGAGACCCAGGTTTTAATGACCATCTTCATTGCACAGTTACCACATAGCTGTCAGTGGGGGCTTGGTGGTTGCTACGAGGACAAATGAGTTTCTATCAGAATGAGATGTATTAGAGGAAGAAAGGTCTAGAGACCTGCTTGTGAAAATCAGCCAATGAAAACCTTACTTGCAATGATAACAATCTGATCTGCCACTGATCATGGGAATGGGGTTAGACGGGACAATGTTTGTTTTATTGGAATTCAATGGTAGATCACATCAACAGACCTTCATACATAGAAGGTCTCTTCTCAGATTATATATATCTTTGTATCCACTTAGGGATGTGGGTTCAGGACCCTCCACAAAGCTCTTGTAACCATCACCTTCTCTTCCTCTGTGACCACCAAAATGCAATGTTTAAAGTGTTTCCAACCTTCCTGGGGCTTGATTATAGTTAATTTACAAGAATAAGGTGCATAAGGCATTTTATGCCTCATATACAAACAATGAATAAGTAAGACCTAAGAAGAATCGATGGGTTTGAATTTTGGTGTTGGCAAAAGATACTAAATTTACCATGGAATCCAAGCTAAAAAGAAACTCTGTATTGAAAAAAAAAAAAGCCAGAGTGCTCCTTAGAAGTAAGGATGGTACGACTTTATCTCTTGTGCACTGAACCTGTTATTAAGCGGGATCATCTTCTGAAGAAAGAACATCATCCTTGGTGAAATATAGAGTGATCAAAAAGAAGAAGAAGAAGAAGAAGCCCTTCAACGAGCTGGATTGACATATGCCTGGAAAGCTGGATCAGGCACACGAACAATTGTGAAGGTGGTACAAGACCAGGCAGTGTTTCGTTCTTGTTTGTTTGTTTGTTTGTTTGTTTTCCCTGTTGTACAAAGGATTGTCGTGAGGTGTAGTTGACTGATGGTTCCTAACAACAATGATCCAAAACCACACTCACTGCGATCAAACTGATCCCAACACTGAGGGTCCATATCGGTCAAGGAGAAGTGCCCTTGTGGATTTCCAAGACTGTACCTCATGGGAGGAGAAAATTCACCTTCTCCCACGGAGTGGCTGTTGGTTTTGAACTGCTTACAGGTGGTTAGCAGGCAGTCATAACCTACGACACTACCAGGGCTCCTGACAACAATAGTTAACATATTTTGGTTTTGTTTTGCTTTCTGGGTTTGTCTTTACCCCACTTGTCCTGAACTTGCAAGTACTTTTATGCAGAAACCATGTGCCCTTACTCCTTCCAGTTTTAACTTCCCTGGAGAGCAGCATAAGGTACATGGGAGATTGAGAAAAAATACCTGTTTATCCAATATGTAGAACACTATTAGGACATCAGGGTCACAACTTGTTCTTATGTCACCAACAGGAAGAAGACTTTCCCCACGTAATTAGGTGGCTCTGACTCCTGCATTGTGTACCTGCTTTGTGAGTGTCAGCTGGAGCCCCTGGCCATAGGCCTCCTTCAGGCACATGGCAGGCCCACAGCACCGGAGCCGCCCCTGCTGCAGGATGGCAATGCGATCACTGAGTACTTCGGCTTCGTCCAGGTGATGCGTGGTGAAGATCACGGTACGACCTGCAGCTCAAGGAAAGGGAACATCAGGATTGACATGATAAATGTCCCAGAAATATTTCAATGGTTATATCATTCAAAGAGAAGTAGTAGGAGGGAATTTTTAAATTATCATAAATTATTTTATTATTTTTAATCATTTTATTGGGGGCTCATACAACTCTTATCAAAATCTATACATACATCAATTGTATAAAGCACATTTGTACGTTTGTTGCCCTCATCATTCTCAAAACATTTGCTCTCCACCTAAGCCCCGGCATCAGCTCACTTTTCCCCTCCCTCCCCATTCACCCCTCCCTCGTGAACCCTTGATAATTTATAAATTATTATTTTGTCATATCTTACACTGTCCGACGTCTACCTTCACCCACTTTTCTGTTGT